CCTGCCCACCTCCAGCAGCCCCTTCAGCCAGCTTTGCTAGTCCCTCTGTCCCGCTGGAGCTCTGGCCTATCACGGAGGAGAAGGTCCTGGTCCCTAGGGTGAGTGGGTGCTCTAGGGTAAACTTAGCAGGAACATCTGAGATGTCTGTGGGACAAACTCCCAAAACACGGAAAAACAGGCTAGAAGAAGTGGGGAGACATCTCGTGTTTGGCTGGGATTGGCGGCCTCATGACTGGGTCTGTTCCCCCCAAATTAATTTATGATCCCAGTGAAAAGGCCACCAGGCTCTTCTCTGGAGCCAGACTTCTTGAGCGGAAGCTCCCCTGAGCTACGAGCAAGCAAGAACGAGAAAACTGTGGAAAAGAAGAGCAACGCAGGAACAGGCCCAGAGTGGCCGTGCCCCTGCCGGCCGGTGTGGGGTTCTTCCATGCGAAGCTGTGGGCACAGAGGGGCAGAGTCAGAACTAGGCCCCGCTCTGCGGGGAGCTGAGTGTGCAGGAGAGTGGGGAGATCTGACTCTTCGTGAGTGGCATGGGGAACCTGGGCCACCGTACAGAAAAGGGTGAAATGGGTCCATCCTTCCTACTGGACGCCAGGATCAGCAACAAATGGGCTCTGGAATGTAAATAAAAACAAATAAATAAAAATAAGTAACACATAAAAGGAAAGACAAAAAGACCTGACTACGTAAGCACAAGTAAAGTAAAAAGATGAATCAAGAAAACATTATCAGCACCTTATAAAACAGAAGGTAAATGTCCCTAAATAAGATGCTTCTAAAAAGGGAAACCGACAGACTCTTGAATAGCAAGAGACGCAAATTCAGATCACTTAGGGCCACCTGTTCCCCGGGGCTGCGGAAACCCCCGAGCTGGTCAGGCTTGAGGGAAGGGGCCTGTGCAACCCTGGGCAGGGCAGAAGGGCGACGCCTGGCTCGCCTGGTGTGTTGACTGACCCAGCATCCCACTTCCAGAGACCTACCCCAAAGACACAGTGGCAAGAACAGGACATGGTCTGTGTGTTGTGGCCCTAGTCTGTGTGCAGGGGGCAGGTTCTCCAAGCTGTGCTGCGCCCACGTGGTGGGGTTTGGGGCCATGCGGCCACGGGGGTCCCTTGAGCCCCATGAGCAGGCTCCAGGACGTGCATGAGCCGGTATTCACTCTGTTGGTTTTTAAACGGTTACCTGGAGGCCAGACAGTGTGACCTCTGAGCATAGGGTTCGTGCCTGTGCAACCATGTCACGTTTTATAATATTACAGATGGAGTAAAAGCTTCTTAAAATGTCACTAAAAAATATGTATTAAAGGGGCGCCTGGGTGGCTCCGTGGGTTAAGCCTCTGCCTTCAGCTCAGGTCATGATCCCAGGGTCCTGGGATTGAGCCCCGCATCGGGCTCCCTGCTCATCAGGGAGCCTGCTTCTCTCTCTCTGCCTGCCGCTCTGCCTACTTGTGATCTCTGTCTGTCAAATAAATAAAATCTTTAAAAAAAAAGTATTAAAAATGGCATAAAGCTACACAAAGGCATAACCCCTCAGAGAAGAGTTATTTCAAGTAATGAGATCATAGACATGTGACAGCACAGCCCCAGTGGGATATACACTGAGGACAAGAAGTACCAAAAAGCCCCAGATTGTTTTCAGTAATCGTATTAGTAATAATAGTGATACTGTCGTCTTGCAACTGTCCTGTAGGTCTTAGGACGCGGTGTCTGTGTAGTTAGCATCCTTACACACGGAGCCCCAGCACGGGACACAGGGCGGAGCGGAGCGTCTGGAAGGAGGGAACCCATATGCTGGAATCCCAAGTTTGAGCTGGAAGCGTCAGGCTGCGCTCCTAGGGTCTCTTCCACACGGAAAGCTCATGTCCTTATTCCCTGGTTGAAAAGCCCCGGAAATACGCACCGATGAGCACCCTCGGCGCCTGCGGGACCTGAAATGGCATTTCCTGCAGAGGCGGCTGCCCCGAGGCTTGCGCTGCTCCCCCGCTCCCGGCCCCAGCGGTCCCCTGCCTGAGATGTTCCCCTCCAGAGCTGTCCCTGATCTGAGCTGGGGCCACCTGAGCGTCCGCGGGCCACGGCTGCGGCTCGTTCCTGTTCACCTTGGGCCGTTGTTAAGGAACAGTGTTGCTTTGACAGCTGTGACCAGAGGGCAAGGAGGAAGCATTTCACCTGGCTTTTCTGACCGAGCTGGGGATGTGTGGTGGGTGACGGATGACACGGGTTCCACACGGAACACTCACCCCGTTTCTTGTGGGTTTGTGCTGAGCTAGTTTTACTGGGGGAGTGGGGGCGCCGGGGTCCGTCAGTGCCGTGAGCCCCAGAGAGCTCAGACCGCGGGTCGGAGCCCGTGTCCGCCTTCATCCCTCCACTGGCTCCTCACTTTCTTCTTTCCCTTTATAACCTTTTGTCAGTTTTGTCAGTTAATTTCTTAAAAAGAAAAAACAAAAACCAAAACTCTAGGGTCAGATTATGTTTGGCCCTTGCTCCAGTTTTTGGTCTGGTGGAGAATATTAGAGAATATTTCTTTTTTATTTTTTTAAATTTGTTCTGGGGTAAAGTATACATAGTCTTTGAGACCTTAATAATTTTGTTTTGTTATGTTAAGTCATCTCTACACCCGTCATGGGGCTTGAACTCACGCCCCAGATCATGAGCACCCTGCTCCACCCACTCAGCCAGCTGGGTGCCCTCCAGTGGAGAATATTTCTTTTTACTTCCTAATTTTTTTTTTTAAGATTTTATTTATTTATTTGATGGAGAGAGATCACAAGTAGGCAGAGAGAGAGGAGGAAGCAGGCTCCCCGCTGAGCAGAGAGCCCGATGTGGGGCTCGATCCAGGACCCTGGGATCATGACCTGAGTCGAAGGCAGAGGCTTTAACCCACTGAGCCGCCCAGGTTCCCCTTGACTTCCTAATTATAAGGGTGTTTAAGAGGATCAGAGCCTGTCTTCCCTCCTCGGAGCGGTGTCTGGCTGGAAGGTGGTGCCGGTCCAGCTGTGGTCACCTTGCCCCCACACAGAACAGAGCTGCAGACGCGAGGTGCTGAGGAGGTGGCTGTGTGGGGTGCTGAGACTTGACCCCTGCTTCCCAGCTCCCCGCCTACCCCCTTGCCCCCCAGAACTGTGTGGACCATGAACAGCACCTGTGCTGGGGGCTGCTGGCCAGCCAGGTTGTCCAGAACTAAGATCATTCACGTAAGAGAGAAAAGACACAAGCATAAAGGTGACATAAAGAAGATCCTGGTAGATTCATATCGAATTAGAATTCTCAGTTTGAATTCATGATCTCTCTTTTTTAAAGCACGCATGTCTGGGGACACCAGCGTGGCTCAGTGGGTTAAGCGTCTGCCTTTGGCTCAGGTCATGATCTCAGGGTCCTGGGATCGAGTCCCGCATCGGGCTCCTTGCTCATGGGGGAGTCTGCTTCTCTCCACCACCGTCCTCCCAGCTCGTGCTCTCCCTCCCTCCCCCTCAAATGAATAAATAAAGTCTAAAAAAACCCCCTCAAAAACCACGCATTTCTTAGACGCAGAGACACCCGGAGCAGTGCGTGTGCCCGGCCCCTTGGGCTGGTCTGCGTTCTGCGTGTGTGGTCCGGCCAAGCGGGAAGTGTCACTTCTGCCGCAGGATCTGTGCTTCCGGAGTTGTTGTCTTGCTGTGTCCAGTGTTCAGAACCAGGCCCTGCCATAGTATCACACGGTTTGTGTCTGTGAGGACCAACTTTGGTTTTCTAGAGTTTTTAATTATTTTTCTGTATTTACTTGTGTGTCACCGCTGCGTCTGGGGGCGCAGCCCTCCCGAGACGCCTGCAGGGGCCGCGTGTCTACCCCCGTGTCTCGTCTGCGGCGTCTGCCCGTGCGCTCGCTGGCCTTGCTCTTTCTCACCCACTGGGCGACCGTGACATCTGTGAAAGCAGGCCGCCTGGCTGGGGGGTTGCCACTGGGGTGTCCCGTAGGCGTGCCTGTCCCATGGGCCGCTCTGCACCTGCCTCAGTGGCCGTGCGGAGGCTGGGGCCACCTGGTCCTGCTGCATGGGGCGGCTTGGAGAAAGATGTCCGCGTCCAGGCCACCTGCTGCCCCGAGCCCCTCTGGAGACGGACAGTCTGGTCGGTGCCGGGCGTTACTCGTGTGTATCTGGTTCAGGGCCACCTTCCCGGCCTGCGGCGCCTTCTCCATCTGGGGCGGGCGTGCTCGCCATCGGGGCGCAGAGCGATGGCTTCGGAGCCCGTGGTCTCAGAGTCAGGAAGCCTCGAGCTTCACACGGTGTAAGTGGAGCCGTGTGGAAAGGCCGTTTTTCTGGGCAAAAAGCTATTGAACGCCAGCACTTTCATTTGGTTCACCCTGGTAACAAATGTGTGTTGTGCTTGCTAAGGCTGTGGATCCACGAGCACACACGGCCCCTTCAGTGAACCAGACGCTTCCTTACGTAGCCTTTCCTGTTGACAGGCTGTTCTGGAATATTCCGCATCAGGCCTCATCAGCACACCAGCTTCTGCTTTTCCAGATGAGGGAGTTTGTCCGTAAAGACGCTGAAGGGAACTGGCTCGGAAACGTGCTCTTCTGTGTCACGTGGGGACCTGGAACTCAGGAATGCCCGGGGACACAGAGGCTGTCGCAGGCCAAGGGCTCCAAGGGCAGGCCCTGCCCCAGCCCCAGCCTGGGCGCTTGGGGCTGAGGTGGCCACACACGGGTGGGGGCGCTCCCTGAGGGGTCAGAGGGGAGCCCTGCGGGGTCCGGGTTTGCTCGGTCACTCTTGTTGGCAGCAGATTCGCAGAGCGGTGGGGCTTCCAAAACCGTGTCCTTCAGCAGACCACACAGCACTGGCTGGAGACGCAGGGAGGCCACCGTGGTGCGGGCTCCTGGCCACCTTCAGCACGCACTGCTCTCCTCGGACCTCTCGTGCTCGTGGCCGTTCGGGTTGTGCCTGCAGTTTAAGGGCACCGCCCTCCTCTTACCCTTTTTAAACAAACGGTAAACAGCTTCAGTGGGGTTTGCTGGAGGAAGCCGTGGTTTCTGGTCTTCCTGTGCATTCACATGTCTTGTCAGAGGGAGGGCTCACATCCGACCATATTTTTCAGCAAGACCAGAAGCGAACAGAGAGTGCACAGTAACTTTCGGCAGGGGGGAGGGACCAGAGCCTTCCCCAGACTGTCCAGCGGGTGTCCCATGGAGAACGAGGTAGGTGCAAGCCCGGCAGGTGTGTTTGTGAGCCGGGGTGACCCGGGCCCGCCACCCCCGCTTTGGGAAGAGGGGAGGAGGGTTCCCACTGGGTTCCGGGGCTGAGAAGCGGTGGCTGGCGGCGGTCGGCGAGCAGGAGAGGAGGGTCCACCCCTCTTAACCCGAGGCGTAGGAGGCCTAGGTGTCCCAGCTGCGGGGGAAGAGCGGGTTCACGTGGGTTTGCGGTTGGTTAGGACACGGGATCTGAGTTGGAACGTGACTTAGGGAAAGGGTGGAGAGAAAGAGCCCGCGCGGTGCTGGCAGACGCACGCCCGGAATGTCGCCTATGCCAGGACCCCGCCAGAGCTCCTGCGCGGCTCCCGCTCCAGCAAGCTGTTGGGGCCGGAACTGGGGGCCTTGCGGTCTGGGGAGGGCTGGAGGGCGTGGGCCATGTCTCGCTCCTCCCTGGGCCTGGAGCAGGTTCTTTTCCTGGTGGGAGGCACCTCATCCGGCAGATCGCTCTGACGGCGGGCCTGTGACCGCGTAACCGAGAACGCCGGCGGTTAGTTGATACAAAGATGAGCACTGGGGGTGAGTCTTGAGGCCGGGGTGGGGGGCGCCTGGCCGGCTCAGGTGGAGGAGTGTGCCACTCTTGATGTTGGCGTTGTGGGTTTGAGCCCCACATTGGCTGTAACGATGGCGTAAAAATAAAATCTTGGGGCTCCTGAGTGGCTCAGTGGGTTAAAGCCTCCACCTCTGGCTCAGGTCATGATCTCAGGTCCTGGGATTGAGCCCCGAGTCTGGTTCTCTGCTCAGCGGGGACCCTGCTTCCTCCTCTCTCTCTCTCTGCCTCTCTGCCTGCTTGTGATCTCTGTCTGTCAAATAAATACATACAATCTTTAAAAAAATAAAAAATAATAAAATCTTTAAGAACAAAAGAAGGTGGACAGTGTTGCAGCACAGGTGTGACACAAAGGGACCTTGGTCGGGAAGCTTGTAGGAGAGGGTTCTGTGCCTTGCCGCGTGCGCCCGCTGAGCCGCCCAGCGGGACAGAGCTGTGCCTTTGGTTTCTTCAGGCCTGCGAGCAGTCTGCCTGACCACCAGCCTGGCCTCGGGGCCTCCCCCAGGCTCGGCTGCGGCTCTGCGTGGGCCTGACCGCTGTATGCAGCTGCCCGTCCGCTGGGCCCCAGGGAAGGGATGGAGGCCCCCTCGTTGCAGCCCCAGGGCCGGTCACCTACCAAGTACTCGGTAGACGTTTGCTGAGTGTTGGACTCGAGGACGCCCGTGGCCTTGCACTTGGAAAATGTGTGTTCAGGAGCAGTTCTGAACTATGACTAAAGGATCAGATAAGATACGTCCTTGAGAAGGTATAGACTCGCACCCAGGCACTCGGGGTGCCCTGCGCCGTCCCTCCCCTCCTGGCTGCTGGGGACCCCGCAGGGCGTGCCGAGCCTAACGCTGTGCACACCCACCAGCTGGTGTGTCATCTTGTGATGAACTCCAGGCCGCAGGTGGGGCCCACTGCCCCACGAGTGGTTGTGCTCGTTCTTCCAGAAACACATTGCTCATAAGTCAGACACTCCGGCGGAGACGTTAGCCTCCGAGAGCCATGGAGGAGATGCACCTGCTCCGAGCCTGGGCGCCCCAGTTGAGCGGCTAACCGAGCTTCAGCGCAGCAAATCTAGGCCAGCCAGGCCCCTGGGTGCTCCTCTGGGAAACGCTCAGCAGCCAAACCGAGTGTTTAAGAGCCACCTTCTAGGTGCTCAAGTTCAAAAGTGGTTTCTAGCATAAAATGGAAGATAGTGTAGGATAGGTAAGGATCTCAGGCTTGTTTCCAACCAGTCCAGAAAGAACCCCCAGTTATAGAAGCGGCGTGTTCTGTGTGCCGCAGAAGCCCCATGTCCCTGCCCTGGACCCTCAGGGCCCCATATCTTCACAGAAGATTCAGGCTCAGGTGGACCCCAGGCCGCACCCAGTGCAGGGCTCCATTATTGAAGGGACATCGTCACCGTCGTGCTCCTTCTGGGGGCTGAGTTGGTCCCTGTCTTGTAGGGTCAGGGATTGTGAGATCCTTTCGGTGGGGACAGTGAGCGTCAGCACTCAGTAAAAATTCCTGTGGAGTGAGGAAGGCACACGGGCATTGTCAGACGTACTTTTAAAAACTTGACATCTTGATCTGGAGAATATTCCAGAAATTAAAGGATCTATGATTGTGTCCGGGAACCCTGCTTCTGTGGCAGGATATTCTGAATTGCCTGCCCCTGTGTTTCCTTAACCAGAATGTCACTTTACATTTTCGTGTTCAGAGCAGCCTCCGTTCCCAAACCCAGAGTGCCCACCTGGTCGACGTGTTTCTGGAGAGGCGGGGGTGGTGGAGGGCGCTGCCTGAGGCCGGCAGGGAACCCGCCACTGACGCGGGCTCAGGTGGCCACCGGAAGTGTCAGGTTGGCCACTATCCGTGTCTCCACCCAGTGGTTTCAGCCTTCCGCCGTCAGGGAAAGCTCGCGTACCACGGAAGGTTGCTGGAGATGTTCACAGCAGCAGCTGGAAGCCTGTGGTGCAGCCATTCAGGGCGGAGGCTGGAAGCTGGGCACTCCCGGCCGCTCCCACGGGTCACGCTGGGGTCGCGCTTGTGCCTTGTGGCCGGGGCGGGGCACCTTTAAAGGCAGAGCAACTGGCACTGAGCACACCTTCGAGGTGGCAGGCCAGGGGTTTTCACCGTGGATTTAGTGCCTGTTCCCCGGCTTTGGGCTCCTCCTCCGGCCTGACTGTGCCCTTTTGAGGTAGGAGCCGTCTCATTCCCCGACAGGGCCTTCCCCACGCCTGGCCAGCGCGGGCACCGAACGCCCACTGACCAGCACCAGTGCCGGGGGTCCCCTGCGGGGTCCCAAGGGGTGGTGGCACAGGAGGACGGGTCGGGCTCCGCCTCGTGAGCAGGGGCCCTGGGCCAGTCGGAGGTCTCTGGAGTGGTTGGTCTGGGTTTCGTCACGGCGGGGGCCGCGCATGTGCCGCGGACCCGGCCGGCTGCAGGGCTGAGGCCCCGGATCCTCCCAGTGCCAATGGACTGTGCGTGTAGACTGCCATTCCGTGAGCTGTGCCTCACCCGCAGCGCATGTGGTCTGTGGCCGTGGTGATTGGGCGTGGGCCTTGCGGTGAGAGGCTGACCGTGGCAGACCTGTCCTCTCAGAGTCAATTTCCCGGTGCTCCCAGGAGCAAGGGAGTAACGAGGTGGGAGAGCGCGTGTGAACAGTTGTGTGTGCCGCTGGTCACACTCAGCCTCAGCCTGTGCCTGGCGGGTCGCGTTCCAGGAGGGGAGCTTTGTGGGGTGGCCAGGGAGAGAGAGGGCGTAGGCACGGGTGTCAGCGTCTGTGAGGCTCGTACATTTCGACGGGGTAAGGTGTGCGCGTGCCCGCCGTCGTTTCTCCGCCTGCGGCGTGCACCTGTCTCAGGAGCTGGGAAGTGCTCTGCACACGGAAGCCGGGGATCCGGAAGCCCTGCTGACCGGGGTACGGGCCAGAGGGGCAGCCCCAGTCTGGTGTGGCCTGCCAGCCTGGGGTAGGACTGGTGAAACGTGGTGTTCGCTTTCCTACATTTCCAGGGTCATTTTCAACTTAAAATTTACTGTAGCTGTTCGGCCCATTGTGGCCGGGCGTGCCCCACCCCTCCCTGTGTGAGCTGCCCACAGTGCCCACCTGCTCCCATGCAGCACCCCCCACTCTCCTCACTCTTGGCCATGGCCCGAGATTGTGCGGGCTGAAACTCTAGGGGCTGAGGAGAATGGGGCCTGGACAGACCCCGGGGCGGGCCGGCTCCTCGCAGATGCTCCGTCCCTTCTGCAGCCCGTCCGTGTGCCTATGAGGCCCTGGGTGTCCTGTCTTAGCTGATGCGTGAGCAGCTGCTGGCCAGAGTGGCCTCGTCCTTGCGTGAAAACCTTGCTGAGGTGGAGAACAGGCAGTGAAGCGGCTGGAGAGGCGAGTAAGTGAGGCCCCCGCTCACGCTGCGTAGGTTTCCTTGGGTGGGAGGTTAGCCTCCGTGGTACGGGTTGCGCAGTGCGGTCAGCACCCTGGGGCAGCGAGGCCCTGGCGGTGGGAAGGGCATGCGGAGCGCAGATATGGGCACAGGGAGCAGGTGGGCTTTTGGCTGCTGAGGTGTGTCCTTTGCTGAGGCCGCGGTGCCTGTTCTGGGGTCCTGGAGCGAAGGGACCCACTGGAGCCAGGGGCTCGGGTGACACTACGTTGCTGTCCTCTGGGTGGATCCTCCCCCTTCCTGCCCTTTACTGGGCCATGAGATTACTTGCCCAGAGAGCGCGCCCTCACCTTTCCGAGTGTCCGAGAGCTGGTGGAGGACGGACCCCCCACTCCATGTGCCCAGGGTGGCCCCAGCCCCCGCCACCCCGACCCTGGCTGGCATTCTCGGTACCACCCTCTCCGGGCCGCACGGGCAGCCCCTTTGCATGGGGACTGTGGTGGTGGCTCGGCCACGTTGGTGTGTGCGCCGTGGGGGCTGTGTGAAGCCTTCATGAATAACAACCTCCAACCCTTGCCGTTTCTGCCTGCAGCCTGGAATTGTGTCGCCGTTTAAACGAGTATTCCTGAAAGGTGAAAAGAGTAGAGATAAGAAAGCCCATGAGAAGGTGACAGAGCGGCGCCCTCTGCACACTGTGGCGCTGTCCCTGCCCGAGCGCGTGGAGCCCGACAGGCTGCTGAGCGACTACATCGAGAAGGAGGTGAAGGTGAGTCCGGCCGCGGGGTGCGCCCCCCACCGTCCCGCCGGCGCTGCTGTGGCATGTGACTGTGCCCACGCTCCATGTTCCAGTCCGCTGGCCCCATTTCCGGCTCTTTCTACAGGGGCAGCCGCCTCCTTTCTCTTGATGGCGGGCGTGTGTGTGCCGCGTGTGTGGTCATGGCCGAGAGTCCCCAAACCCTGTCCAGTCCTGTGTGCAGGCACCTGCGGATAAGCGTGGCACGCCAGGCCCCCAAACACGCTGAGTGCAAGTGAACTGGGGAGAGGGGCTGCGGCCTCGAGGTCAGGGTGGTGGAGGGGCTCTGCCAGCAGTGGGGCGCCTGCGCTTGGAGCGGGCGCCCGGGAGGGTGGGGCTGCGGATTGCACGGAGCCGGTCCACTTCGAGTCCCCTCGGGATGCGGGGTTGTCCAGTCCGAGCCCCATTCGGGGAAGGTGTGGGGCGGTGGTGTCCTCGGAGGGGTTTCTGCTCCTGCCTGGCCGTCAGGTGACAGAGGAGGTGGGTGGTGTCCCCAGCAGAGACAGGACTGGGGAAGCTCAGCTGTGGGGACACTTGGCACAGAGGAGGGCTGGAGCGACCCCGAGTGAAGACGTGAGGCTAGCCTGGGTGCGGAGTGGGAGTCCCCTGTCCCCCTCCTTGCCACGCTTCCCGAACACCTGTGCAGGCCTGTCCCACACGGGGGTCCCGGGGTGCTCTCGGGGGGGAGCTGGGGTTACCGCCCGTGAGGCTGAGCACAGCTGGCGACTGTGCCCGTGCGCGTGGCTTCCGTCGGGGCCAGCGTGGTTTCGTACACGTTCAAGGAGATAGAGCCTGGGGCAAACACAGGACAGAGATGTGGGCCTGGCCACAGCCACGCGGGAAACTGGGGGTCAGTGTAACGTCCTCGGAGAGGTGAGAGCAAACACGGTGATCTCAGAAGTTCCAGGCTTCACTTCTGAATAAAGAGGGGCGGACAGGAGCTTTTGGAACGAGAGGTATGTCCATGTGTGTCTTAACACGTTCACTAGAGGGCTCGAAGGAGAGTCTGGAAAGGCGCCCAGAGGAGTGGCCAGAAGGTGAAGAGAGGAAATCAGTCAGCGGGAGACGGAAGAGCAGATGGAGATGGAGGGCCCACGAAGGGGGCCCAGCAGGAGGAGAGGTGGTGCCCACGCGGAGACGCGGGGCCTGTCACAGAGTGGGCCAGTGCGACCTTACGGGATGAAGGCATCCCGCCACGGTGACCAGGCGGGCCCAGTTTTAAGGGAGACATGGGAGGACCTGCTGCCTCACAGCGCGGGACACACCGTGAAGGCGGAGACGCAGGTTCAGAGCCCAGGGCTTCCCCCAGAAAGGAGCCCGGGGGTTCTTGGTGCAGCTCAAGGGTCCAGGCCCCGGCGAGACTCTGAGGGCCGAGCCTGAGCGCCTCTGGGAGGGGCAACAGGATGTTTTTTATGTGTGGGGAGAGGCTGGGGAAGACCTGGGAAGAGTCAGAGCCATATGTGAGGACAGCGCAGGTGTGGGGAAAGGTCGCCCCTATTAAACCCTGGAAGAGAAAAGTTGGGGATTTCTGCTTCCAGAAGGTGCGGTGCCCATGCCTCTCCCTGGGCCTCTCACTTTGCACAACGACGGTCCTGGGTGCTGCATGCGGTGACTGTCGGCTCCTCTGCGAGGTGGACACGAGGCAGCCCCACAGGGACCTGGGGGCCCCAGGTCAGGCCCCAGGGGAGGCCTCCAGCTTCTCTTTGTTCTCATGGGCCCCAGGTGTGGAGTCGAAGAGGCTGGCAGCCCAGAAACACAGACAGGTGCAGCCAGCCCCCACTGAAAGCCGCCCCATCGGGACCGAAGAGCAGCAGAGGGGTGCCGGCCACGGCCGAGCGGGGCAGCACCCACCCTGGGGGAGGCCGGGCCGGGAGCAGGGACTTTGGCCCCCAATGAACCCGGGTGGGACCGGGGTGTCCATGGGGCCCCGGGGGAGCCAGAAAGCCTGCCGTGCCCCGAAGGACAGAGGGGCCACCTTGGCGGAAGCCGTGGGACCAGAGCACGTTCTCCAGCGTGTGTGTTGTCGGAGTCCTGGCCGGAGGACTGAGAAACTGTTCCAGGGAGTCGTGTCCGAAATGTCATTCATTTGGCAAAAGACAAACTTAGAGATTTAAGAAGCGGAGTGCGCTGCGAGCAGGGTGAACCCAGAGCCGTGCACGCCGGCACGTCCCCGTGAAACTTGTCAAGAGCAGAGCCAGCAGGTCGAGAGAGTAGAGAGGGGAGCAGTTTCTCCACTGGGAGATCGGGGTGCCGGCAGCCACGGGGTTGGCCGGCACGCGCACCGGCTCCCGAGGAGCGCCCCCTGCCACATCCTGCGGGCCCGCGCGGCAGCCTTGGACCGCTCTGCGACTGACAGGGACCCTCAGGCTGTCGTCTGGAATCTGCCGTTGGAAGGTCTCCAGGCCTGCCTGTTCTCACTGGAGGATGTCCTCACGTGTTCAGGGAACGGACGCCAGTGCCAGTCTCTCCCGGAAAGAGAAGGGGCGACCTTGCTCTGAAGGGGTGCAGGGCCGGCTCGGGATCCATCACATCGACAGGCCAAGGTAGAAATGTCCTGGACCCTGTCGGTTGACGCAGGAAACACATCTGACTCCCATCCATGGTGAAAAAACAGGACGTGTGTGTATGCGCCACGTTACATGTCCAAAGTGAGCCCAAACTTGAACATGCAGTAGCGTTTACAGGCACTTCAGAGACAGACAGACAGGTACAGCTGGACCCGGACGTGGATGGGGTTTCCTGAGCGCACAGTAGGGGCGCAGGGAAGCACAGATATGCGTGTTGGGAGCCTGCCACATCTGCGGGGGGGGGGACTCAACCCGGTCAGCGTGGCATGTGTCCCCAGACCCGCGCAGCGCTTGACACAGTCCTGACTGAAATCCCAGCAAGCTTTTCGTGGATGCAGAGATGACTCCAAAATGTGTGTGGAAAGGCAGAAGGAGCAGAACCGCTGAGATGGTTTTGCCGGAGCTGCTGGTCACCCCCAGAGACAGCGTGCGCCTCCGCCCACGCTCCACACCCGAGTGCACAGAAATTCACTGGGGACGGACTGCAGCTGGGCCACATGGGCGGAGGGACAGCCGGACCCGCAGCTGGGGTATGCGTCCGTCCTCACCATGGAAGAGCGTTGCCCCCGCGGGGCTGACCAGCCACCTGGACCCTGGTTGGCCACCTTGCGGGACGGCGCCATGTGGGGGCCACAGAGTCGGCCCTGGGACAGGGACTGTGTACTTAGGCCTATCCCCCACTGGGTGAGCCCAGCTTGGCCTCCGCCTGCCTTCAGCTGTGTGTAGGCTGAGCTACGGTGGGGCCCATGCGTCTCTGCTGGGGTCCTGCAGCTCAGGGTGGGACCGGGACTGGGCTCTGCTCCATCCCGGGGGTGAACGGGAATGGCTCCTGGTGGCTTTGGAGAGGAATGTGTGTGTCCCGTGCGCTCACTTTCTCTCAAAAGAATCCATCCAGCTCCCTCGTGCAGGCCACGGCCACGGCCCACCAGTTCTGCAGAGCCAGGCAGGGCGTGAGGTGGAGCCCGCTGTCCCCATGCCACGGAAGTCTCGGAGGGCAGCTCGTCACGCTGCCTTGGCCGCTGGCAGTGAGCCTGTTCCTGCTTCGGAGCTGGGGCAGGGGCCGTGGTGAAATGAGTAGCTCCCGCGTTCTGGAGGCTGCTGGGTCCGCCTCCTCCTGCTCCACGGGGGACGTGGGTGTGGATGCGAAGATGCACTGTGGGCCGTCTGGGTCCCGGGGTGCTGGCTTCATCTCCAGGTCTGTGAAGGGTGTCCCGGTCCCCAGAGCGCAGGTGCTCCAGGGAGAGCCATTTCTCCGGGGCCGCCGGGGCGTCTCTGCAGCGCACCTGCCAGGGCGCCGTGGGGGCCTTCTCCGGGGCTCCGCCTTGCTTCAGCCACGTGTCTGGGGCTGGAAGCCGTCAGGGATCCGTCCCTTGTGCCCGAGCTGCGCAGTCGGCGACGTCCTTGTGTGTGCAGTAGGCGGTGCCCCGGGCTCCCGTGCTGTGGGAGCCGGCCCCAGGGCCCCTGCCGGCCACACCCCACAGCCACTCTGTGGCCTCTCCTGCGGCTCCTGCAGCTGGTGCCGCTGCCCAGTGCTGCTCCCTGGGGCCCTGTTTTCCCCGGGCTCCGGGGTGCCCGGTTCTGCGAGCATCTCCTGCCGTCAGCTACTCCTCGGAGCTCCTGGGCCTTCAGAGTGGGGTGTCTTCCCGGCCCCCAGGGAGCAAGGGGAGCGGCAGCATGGGGTTCCCTTTCCCTGTCTTACCCGGGGGACCCCGTGCAGCGGGCCCACCTCTGAGCCTTTTCAAGCCTTCACCCACAGTTTGCCATGGCCTGTGTATGTGTGTGCATGTGTGTGTGTGTCTGTGCATGTGTGTGTGT